CACCACCCAGTGCCTGCATTTTTGGCCAGATTATTTGCTTCTAACTGTCCTAATCTCTGGAACTGGGGCATCTCCCCCTACCAGTTGTCTTCTTTCCACCACACCTTGAAAAACCAAGTCCAGCCCAGACTTTCCCCTTCCCTCCCGCAGCAGATGGGGTCAGTTTCCCACCCCCTCCCCACGGGAAAAGAACAGTAGAATCTTGCTGAGTTTCCACACTGCATAAAAAGCATCTGAGCTTCTCTTTTCAATAGCAGGGTCAGTCTTTCACTGTTTCAAATATGGAAAATATGGGTGCTCTAAAACAGCTACTGTTACTTAAAACCTGATTAGACTATTTCAGGGCTAAGGATGAACCATTCAAATCAATATGTTCTAATGTGCTTTTATAGAAAGTCATGTCAATGAATTGGTACCTCTTAAGATCTAGATAAATGATAAGAGCCTAAGAGATAATGGGAATGATTCTTGTTTTCCTTTGACCTCAGTATTTTTTTCAAATATAAATGTGTGTTTTTATTATCTTTAACATTAAGAATATGTGAAAAATCATGTAGGAAGTTGAGGTTAAGACAAAATCAAACAAATGACCACAGGATGCTGAAAAGTGCAAAAGTTTAACAACCACTATTATAAGGACTGAGAATGCAGAAAAGAAAACACACACACACACACACAGTAAATTAATTCACAGGAATTTCAAGTTAATTTTTAAAAGTCTAACAGCCTTTTTCTGTCACACTATACACAAATAAATTGCAGAATTATGGTCGGTCATTTGATCTTCAGGAGTAAACTTACTAATTTTAAATTGAGAAATAAATTGAACATTTCGAAAAGCAAAAATGTTATCTCTTTCTAGTTTCAATAGGAAGAAAGCAGAAAGTGTCACAGTCAAATTAGTTTAGCCCTTCTTAATGAGTTGGCTGAAATTACTAGGTAGATTAGTTTGCTTTAGCTACTTTTTCCCCTTACTATGGATACAATATAAGCTCAATATTGAAATTCAGAAAAGACAGTTGAGCAGAAGAATAAAATTCAAACTATCTATAGTATTAATACACAGAGATAGCCACTGTTTGCATTAGTTTTTACCAACCTCATTTCGCACTTAAATTTTAAAAATTAATATATTTTATTTTAAATAAAAATTACATATATTTTTTTGACTATGAACTAATTTTTTTAGTAACTCTCATAATGGCTGCCTCATAGTGTGTACCAAATAAATGCATAAATTATCCAGAATATATTAGCTTATTCTCTTTATTATTTTTCAACTTTTAAAAATTTCCACTGATTTTGATGATGGAAAAAAACTCTGAAAAAACTAAGAAAGTTCATCTCCTAATGCTTTCATAAATTTATGCTTTAATTTTCTTTATTACATCAAATAACCAAATTGAAATCCATAAAATTAATCAGAAATATAAGAATTACTGCTTAATATGCACAGGGCACATCTTCTGAACAGGAAACATTTTTGTCTATGTTTAGTATAAAATATACTGCAGTCATAAAACATTAAAAATGTAGTTGATACGGGGAACTGATTATACAGATTTTAATTAAATTTTAAACATCATTTAAATTAATTTAATTCAAATAAAATTCACCCAATCACTAGTGACTAACACACTGAACTCTAATGATTCATATTCAGGAAGAAATGTTTAGCTTCATATTCAAAAATTTTAGTGTAAATAGATTAGTATTATTCAACTTTTTTCAGGTAGCAGGGTCTCTTGAACTCAGTATTTTTCGCTAACCACCTAAAACACTTACTAAGCTTCAAAACTATTCAATAAATCATTTTCCGAAAAATGAGATTCCTTCTTAAATGAGACTTTATTATATATACTTGAAAAAAATTATGGGTTAGGGATGAGGAAGAATGAACCATTATTAGATTTTAGGAGCACAACTCAGTTCAGGTTATACCTCTGAAGAACAGTGTGAAAAGCACTAAAGAGCTAAAACATCCACATTTATAGGCGCAAGTGAAATTAGATTTTTTAATGCCTTGTTAACATCTAAAAATTCTACCATGACCTCCTCAATTATCAACTGTCTCTGGTTTCCTTTGTCTTCTGCCTTGAGAAAACACAGATTTGGTTCCACTGAATAGCAATCTAGGGTTGCTAAGCCGCTAAAGAAAAGAGAACTCTTATACTGACACCACATTCTTGATTACCGATTTCATCAAGTTAGGCCTGCCCATAATCGGACTGAGCATCATAACCTGTCTTTGATGATCCAACTTCACTCCGATTTCTTTATCTTTTCAAATCCTCACTGTACTTTGATTTTCTGTTTGGGTTGGTAATCACTTCTATCTCCCTTCCCCACCCAATCAACATACAGGAATGAGAATGCATACTGTATTTATTTTCTATGCCAAACAAACACAGTGTTGAGCAAAGAACTCGACAAATATTTGACCAACTTTTAACTGAGCCATTGACATCTGTGAGATTTCTGAGCTTTCATTCAATCAATGCTCCTTTCTTGTGAATAGTTCCTTCAACTGAAAAAGTAGTATTCTTTACTTTAACAAAACTTTCTTTATGCCTTGTTTGCCTTCCAGTTTATTTGTAACTCTTAAAAAGGCTGGTATATCATGGCCTTCAGAGGCAACAATGTGCAGTGATAGAAAGTAAGCCCGATAATTTGAGCAAATCAAGAACTCAGCACACTGGAGTTCTGAAAGTGACTAGAGGCAACAAAAAGCAGTACAAACCAGTAGACCCAGTTCACCCTGAAAGAATACTTAGCTTACGAAAACTTAGAGCTTCTTTTTTTCTTTCTTTCGTTCCTTCTTTCTTGTCTTTCTTTCTTCCTTCTTCCCTTTCTTTCTTTTTCAAAATATGTTATAAGGTATCTATCCACCTACTTACCTGCTTTATCTTGTAAACTTTCATGACAAATCGCAATTTGTACATATTTTTTACTTTTTTAAATTTAATGTGCCACAAATTTTTAAAAATAAGTCTCGGAAAAGCAAATCTACATATTCAAATAATAAACTCAATTTTTATGACACAGAAGAGACTTAAAACAGTAAAATAAGAAAGCAAATCTCTGAGCTTACCATATATAGGGGAAAACGTGAAGTCATTCAGATGGCAAATATTATAGGCTTCAATTCTAACATCTTTCCAGATGCCCTGGGTAGGAAAGGAAGGCCCCCAGTCCCAACTAAAGGAAGATTGCTCCTGTAATTTCAAGGGGGGAAAAAAGTAGATTCTGATTACCATGAAATTTAAACATTATAAAAAACCTTTTATTTTAAAAATATTATAAAAGTGTATATTACTTTGCTAGGACTACCATAACAAAATATCACTAATTTGGTAGCTTAAATAACAGACGTTTATTTTCTCACAGTTCTGGAGGCTGAGAAGTCCAAGATCATAGAGTTGTCAGGGATGGTTTCCTCAGAAGCCTCTTTCCTGGGCTTGCAGTTGGTGCCTTCTCACTGTGCCCTCACAGACTTTTTTCTGTGCACACACACACACATCCCTAGGGTCTCTGCTTTCCAAATTTCCTCTTCTTCCGAGGTCATCATATTGGATTAGGACCCTTCCCAACGGTCTCATTCAACTTAGTTACCTCTTTACAGACCTTATCTCCATATAGAGTTATATTTTGAGCCACTGATGATTGGGACTCTAACATACAAATTGGAAGGGGTAGGGAAGGACACCGACTAAAGCCCATAATCGTGTGTGTGTGTGTGTGTGTGTGTGTGTGTGTGTCCCATATACAGCATCTAAAATGACCCAGAGTGACCCACTCCCGCTATTCATGGCCTTGTGGAAACTCCTCCCCTTGAGTATGGATTAGACTTAGTGAACCACTGCTAACCAGCAGAATGCAACAGAGGTGATAACTTCCAAAATTGTTATAAAAGACTGCACTTTCTGTTTTGGGTGCTCTTTCCTACTCTCTCTTGGCCAAGGGGGAAACGAGCTGCCATGTTGTGAGGCAGCTTTGTAGAGAGGCTCATAAAAGTGAGCTTGGAAGCCAATCTGAAGCCTGCCAACAACCACATGAGGGAGCTTAAGCACAAACACTTCAGGCCTGGTCAGCCTTGAGATGCCTACAGCCTTGGTCCACAGCTCACCTGTAACCTCATGAGTGACCTTGAGCCAGAGGTACTCAGCTAAGCCGTACATTCCTGATTGACAGAAACTGTGACGATAAATGTTGTTTTAAGCTGATAAGTGACATAATTTGTTGCATAGCAACAGATAACTAATATATCAATTTATGCAACATAAACTTGGCAGAAATGTTCTAGGAACACAAAATTTAATGATGTACATTTATTCTTCAAAAACATATTACAGTGAAGCAACACAGTAGTTACTTTTAGACTTCTCCAAAATATCCCTTAACCTACATTGTATTTAAATGTAATAACTATAAAGAATGAAGAAATACCTTGGAAGATAAAGACATTTATAAATAGGTTTAAGAAACCCTAGCTATAATTGCCAAGCCAATTTCCTCAATTATGAATTCAGAAGTCCTTGTCTCTGAATTTACTGCCCAAGAACAATCAGTTCAGGTGGCGAGGGCAGACATTTTATCTAGTCTTATTCAGCCTGGCTACCTGTTTCCCGCTTCAGACACATTTCAATTTTCATATTAATTTACAATGGTTCAAATTCAAAAGCAGGAGATGGTTCCCTTCAAATAAATCCCTTTCAAGTAGAATTTTTCTAATTTTTACTTCTTAAAAGAAAAAACTGTTTTCAAAACACTATGAGACTATGAGTTCAGCTTTTAATAAGGAATAAGCACCAGAGGAAGTATTAAAATCTTTCTGAATGGAGCATTTGTAGAATAGAGCCTGAGGATTTGGCCAAATTGCTCTCGTTTAAGTATTATTTATCTAACACAAGGATAAATTTGTTTCCATTACAGAGAAAAACAAAGAATTAAAACCAATTCACCATGTATCAGATTCTAATGTTTGGAATGAAGACCATCTTGGGATATTTATTGGAGAGTTTGTAAGTCCTGATATATAATTCTTTTACTAGGGATAGGGAGAAGGAAGTGGGCAAAAATATTCAACATCTTCTAAGGCAGATTATTTTCCCCACCGAGGCTACAAATCACTTTTCTTCATACAACCTCGCCAAATAAAAGTTTTCACTTATTCGAAAAATATTTGTGAATATTTCTATGTGTCAGGCTGGGAGTACATCAATATACAAAACAGACACAGTTCCTCTTCTTAGAGTGTTTACAGGGTACAGCAAGAAATTCAGGCACTGAATAAATAATCACAAACACAAAGGAAACAGGGAACAAATAACGGAGGGAGAAGGTGTCAAGACAAGATTCCCTGAATAATAGTGACATTTATATGGGAACTTGAAGGGTGAGTCCCACTCGTCCAATGTGTTTAGAGGAGAAGGAAGTAAAGCATCCCTTTCAGAAGGAACAGCATGTACCACGGCCTCAAAGTGCAAGGGTGTGATACATTCCAGGAAATGAAGAGAGAACAACTGAAGAGGTGGGGTAAGACTGGAGAAGTGGTCATGGGCAGACGGAGCTTAGAATTCTGTCCTTTAACCTGCAGCCTGAACTGTTGAAGAGTTTTTAAAAAGAGAGTGCTGTGATGAATAGTCTGAAAAGAACACTCTGGCTGCTCTGTGGAAGATTAACTGGAGGAAAGCAAATGAGGAACACCAGGTGGGCAACAAGAGCAATATTTCCTATTTCCTGCAAGAAACGATGACAGACTGAATTCAAGCATGGTAGTAGAGATGGTAGAGCACTACTGAACAGGTAATATCCACATCTTCAAAAGGACTTAATAATGGATTGGAGGAGGGAAAATGAGAGAAGTATCAAAAATAACTCAGGTTTCTGGCTTGAGCAACTGTCGTGGATGGCACTCCATCCAGCAAGTCAGGGTGCCTTGGGAGACAGGTTGGACCCCAAGCGCATTGTTGGACATACTGAGCTTTAGGTCCACATGAATCAGCCAAGTGAAGCTGCCGAACAGGCAATCGAATAGGACGTCTGGGGTTGAAGAGAGGTCTGGCCTAACAAAACAACATTAGGAGTCACTGGAAATTCAATTGGTTATTGAAGAAATAAAAATGAATGAGATAGAATAGAAAGGGGGTAAAAATGAAAGGAGAAAAAGTATCTAGAACAAAGAGAAGGTTGAATAATAAGACTTTTAAGAGGAGGAGGTTAATCTGGATAAAGAGACTTAGAAAACATGGCAGACATATCAGCGAAAAGCAAGAAGGATGGTATGGAATATCGCGAAAAGGGCAGCTGAGGTGATGGGTCCCATCGCCCAAGCTGGACAGACAGGGAAGCAGAGACAAGGGGGGACTCGTGTTGACATGGAGAAAGCAGAGGAGTCAAAGAATAGATGGAGAGTCACATTTCCTCGTTACACCTACTCCCATCTCTAGCCCACTAACTCACACAAGCGAGGCTGAGGCCTTTTGTCAGTTACAAAGAAGTCTGTAATTACAGAAATAAGTCTCTAAAATTAATGATATCACCTCCCTACATTTTGAATGGCTGTATAGCACTTTATGGTATGGAAAGTGCATTTACGCTGATATTTCACTGTATCCCCATATCAAAATCAGAAAGGAAAGGAAGAGATTATTGGTTCCATATACAAATGATGAACTTGCCTAAGATTCCTCTGAGTTTGTAAAACCAGAATTCAGATCCAAGATTTCTGACTTGATCTCAAATTCAGGCCTCTTCTCACTGGATCAGGTCAATCGAGCCAGAAACCAAGACACAGCTCATTTGCTGGCAAGTTTGCCCCACAGTTAGTGTTCTACACAGTGTGAGAACAGAAACTTGAGCCTGATTCCTGATTTGAGTGATAAAAGACTTCATTCCATCTAGATAACCTGAAAGTATGTTTTAAATGCCACAAACTGAATAGGAGGTAGAAGAAAAATATTACTTGGGTATATGTATAATATATCTATACTTTTACTGATGACCTGAAAAGTATACTTTCAGATTAGGACCAGAAAGTCCTCATTGTGATAGAAAGTTAACGAGGAAGAGGAGAGGGAGAAAGTGCAACTTCTAGTATTAAAACCACTGTGCCATTTGAAGCTGAAGACAAAAAACGAAAGCGGAAGTTTAACAGAGCTGTAAGTACACCAGTGTTCCATGGAATGCCTGACTGCTCTGTTATACACTGTTCACTTACGGCCACATGAACACATGGTTATTCAGACATGATTTAATCTGGGTATGTTGTGTCAAACAAATGGAGGTATAATTTTGACCTTAACACTTATCTTAAGGAAACATAATTTAATGGTAAATCCATCCAACCGAAAGAGAGATGCTTAACTTAAATAATCAAAATTTTTCAACGGAGGCTGTAGCTAACAAGCGTTGAAAAAATACACTTAGTATCTTCACAATGAAACCAATGATTATATTTATCGTTAAATGCTAATTCCTCAAAAATTTTGGAATAGAATTATATGTAATCCAGCAATCCCACTTCCGGGTATATATCCAAAAAAAATTGAAAGCAGGGTCTCAAAGGATATTTGTACATCCATACATAGCAACATCATTCAAAATTGCCAAAAAGTAGAAGCAATCCAAATGTCCATTGACAGTTGAGTGCATAAACAAAATGTGGTATCTGCATGCAACAGAATATTATTCAGCCTTAAAAAAGGAAAGAAATTCTGACATATGCTACAGTATGGATGAACCTTGGGAACATTATGCCATTTGAGATAAGCCAGTCACAGTAAGACAAATACTGTATGATTCCATTTATATGAGGAGTCACACTCATAGAAACAGAAAAAATGGTGGTTGTCAGCAGCTGAGAGAAAGGGGGAAAAGGGAAGTAATTTTTTGATGGGTACAGAGTTTCAGTTTTGCAAGATGAAAAGTTCTGGAGATTGGTTTCACAACAGTGTGAATATACTTAATACTACTGAACTGTACACTTAAAATGGTTAAGATGGAAAATTTTGTGTTATGTGTATTTTAACACATTTTAATTTTTTAAATAAAAAATAAAATTAAAAACTAAATATCACATAGAATATTAATTCAATCTTGAATTAAAATAAATCCAAGTCATCTAGACTGAGATCAGATTCAAAGAAAAATATCGTCTTGTGGATTTTATTATCTTTTTTTCAGATTTTTGAGAACCTGCCAGTAAAATATAAGAACATGTCAGCAGATAAATTAATATTTGAAGAAGGCTTCCTAGTAACAAGAATCACTAATAAATATGAACCTACTGTCTGGTGAAAAGTTTGATAAACTTAAATGTTAAAAAATAATTTTTAAAGTTACACTACCAGTCACCTATTTATCTTCTTTATCTGATGTTACCTAAGTTCTGAAGCATACTTCAGGAAAAAAAAAAAAAACCTAGAAAGACAAAAATTTTCCACCAAAATTCATATAATCTTTTGTTTCTTATTTTTTAAAATTTTCGAATCCCAGTAAGGGGGCCAGAAAGAGATGCCCAACTTCTGAAATACCACTGGAGTCTTCAAACAAGCACTGCACATGCCAGCACATCCCACCTTCAAGGTTAAAGCCCTGTCCATTTGTGAAACCATTACCTTTCGAATAAAGTTGACATGGCATTCTCCCTTCTGCACACTTGGAGGGCAGTCTGGGGGCACCGGGTAGCTACTGTGAGCTCTGCTCTGCTGGGCCGCATACAACACTGGCGACTGGAAACGCAGCTCAATAACGTTTACAGCTTGGACCACACTGGTGATATCGAAGCTCTAAATTAAAGGGAAAGAATAGATGTGAAAGTAGCCTCGTGCGTAAAATTTTAGATGTAGGCAGATATAAGATGGAAGAGATGCATAAAATAATTGAAATCTTTAGGTTTAGCCTTTTTTTGCAAAAAGCACTTTTCTGAAATGTATAACTAAGTTGCCAACTTTTAGTTATAACTGAGTACATTCTCCTACCCAAAGATTTCTAGGTTTCTCCTTCTGTTTTTATTGACAGATAGATGATGGTCCTAGGCAGAGTGAGCAGAAAATATACTTAACCCTGGAATGTCTGCTCTGGCTGTTTATAAACACAGGCCCTTGAACACTGCCAAGGATTTCCTCGACACTTCACGACAACCTGACTCTTTGGTATGAATAGCATGTCTTTCTAAGTCATAAGTTATTTTTGTTTCAAAAAGTCTACCCTTGAAAGAGAAGAAAGATCAGGATACGATCTCTTAATGTAATTACTCCAGAAAGGAAGGAACATTTTCTTTTTAAATGGTGTGTCAATTGTCATTTCTCATGAAACTCTGGATCACCAAATAACACAGAAGGGAACAGCATTTGTTGAATACTTCCCACGTGTCAATAACTGTGCCAATCATCTTATACAATTAGCTCATTAAATCCTCACAATAACTTTATAGGGTTTGTAATAGTTTGATCATTCTACAAATGTAGCGACTGAGAAATAAAGTAACTTATCCAATGCTTCAAAGAGCATGTACCTGTCTGCATGAACAAATATGCACTTACCTTTCTCTACTCACAATAATAATTAACATAAACACATATAATAGTTTTTTTTTAACTTGATGTCATTATGTACTTACATATCTTTTGAACATGTTGTTTGTATTCCCAATGGAAACATTATTGAGCAGGACTTCTGTAACGGTATCAACACCCTCAAAAATCAAATTTACTTTTTGCCATTTGCTAAAAAAGGAAAAAAAATTTAAAGCAAGATGTATAAACATTAACTTAGCTAAGTCTTTTTTTATTAGTTAAGAACTAAAGGAGTAAATATTTCACAGAAAATATATAGCCTTAAAGAGCGCTTTCCAATTAAATTTTTCAGAAGCATTAGTTTAATACATTTTTATATCGAGTGATCTGGCTTATCTTTCTTTCTTCATAATATTTCATCACCATAAAATCATGAGCACAACTTATAATTTCCACATTCACTGACTTTTTCTCTAGAACTTCACAAAGTTCTCATGAGAATCAAGTTAAATAATAGACACAAAACGTTTCACCCACTATTAAATGTACTGACAATATCTAAGAGAACACATTAACCAGCTAATAAGTATCTATCAGTGAATATTATGTGCCCAGCACTCTGCTAAGCCTCACAGGAAACTTAAACAGTTTCTACAATGAAGGAGTCTGCCACCTGGCTGGCATTCAAGCCTAAATAAAACACAAGAAACAAAGAGAAAACTTTCAATCTCTTCTACTTTGTAGTACAGTCTTGTTGGACAGACTACAGCTGCTATCAGAGTGTATGTCATGGGAAAGACTTCAAGAAGGAAACAAACTTAAAGAAGAACAGAATAAATAAAATGTGATATATCCACATGATAAAACATTATTTGGTAATTAAAAGAAATGAAGTATAGCAGGTCCTCAAATAACACTTCGGTCAATGTCATTTCATTATAACATTGAGGGAAAAAAAAAAAAAAAGAATCAATCTCCAGTGGAGGCCACTCTCTGTGTGGAGTTCGCATGTCCTCGCCATGTCCACGTGGGGTTTGCTCCGGGACTCATTTCTTCCCACATTCCAAAGATGTGTGCATGTAGTGAACTGCTGTGTCTACATTGTCCCAGTCTGAGTGAGTATGAGTGTGGTTGCAATCGTGCAATGGAAGGGTGTCCTGTCCAGGGCGGGTCCTGCCTTGTGCCCTGCACTGTCTGGAGAGGGTCCAGCCATCCATGACCCTGAACGGGAATATCGGGTTGGAAAATAATTATCTTACTTATTTTTATTCATCTTTCTTAAGTGTATGTCTAGCCTACATTTATTCCAATGTTTAATATTAGAAGTCTTTGAGTGTTTATATAGAAGTCTGGTGATGTTTTGGGGACCAGAAATATGCCATAGGAACTTCACTCTTGTTTATATCAATTTGCCTATGGCAAAATTGGTTTCCTTATACTTTGTTTCACTTCCAAAAACCTATCAACAATGCTAAGTGAAGACTTACTGTACTTGTAAATATATTACAACATGTATGAATCTGAAAGCATTCTTATGCTAAGTGAAAGAAGCCAGTCATGAAGAATTGCATATTGTATGATTCCATTTATAAAAGACTTCCAGAAGAGACAAATCCATAGAGAGAATAAAAAATCAGTGGTTGCCTAGGGATGGGGGGAGGGAGATGTGGAGAATGGGGAATGGCTCCTAATGGATAAGACTTTTTTTTGCGGGATGAGGAAATGTTCTAAAATTGGTTACAGTGATGGTTTCTAGAATATACTAGAAACCACTGAATTGTACACGTTAAATGGGTGAGTTGTATGGTATGTGGATTATATCTCAATAAAGTTGTTATTTTCTTTTAAATGAGTAGAAATGCCTAGGCAGAGGGTAGACCCCAAGAGGAAGAGCAAAACCAAAACATGGAAGTGCTAACAGCATCAATAACATTAAGGTAGCAGGTTTGATTGAGATGCAGGGAGCTAAGGGGAGAAAACTAGACAAGTCAGGAAGGCAGGAAGGGATGCAGGAATGGCAACATTAAAGCAGTATTTTCACAGGCAAGCAGAGAAGATTAAACTTGATTTGCCAATCAAAAGGAAGACGCTGTTGTTACTGAGCAGGAACGTCATGGTAAAATCAATATTTGGGGAAGATGGGTCTAATATTTCTACATGTGAAAGACTGGAGAATAAAAAGACAAAGCAAAAAATTTAGTTAGGCAGCTCTGGCCTAATCCCAGGCACTCACTAATAAGCTGTAGGCAAAGGTGGAAACTTGGGAATGAAGAAAAAGGTGCTGGATCAAGAGAAATGATAGACAAAAATTAACAAGACTCAGAAACAGACTGAATACAGGGAGATGAAGAAAAAATATGATAGCCAAAAATACATTAGGCACAGAAGATTGAAAAATGGTATTAAGAGAAACAATGAGGCAGTTAGAATGTAAAGTAAGCTTTAAGTTGGAAAGTCAATTGGTTAAATTTTGGATATGTTGAGTTCAAGGTGAAAGGAGACCCCTAATAGAGGTATGTTAAGTAGTATCTGGAAATAAGAGACTGTAACTCTGTGACATTGAACACCATATTCTGGCTCTATTTCTCTGTTAAGGGGCTAGTAAATAATTAGCCAAAAAAAAAGTCCTATAAAAAGAACAGAAGGAGTTATTTTTATGTAGCAATAATGGTGGTAGATATAATTAGGTTACATTATGCTACATAGAACATTACTGAAAACTATACCATGCTTTTCCTCATGGCCTCATGACATAACATTAAGGCTAATGCCATAGTCTCAATGGCTGGTTAACACTACACTGAACAAACAATGTATCTCTGATCCTACTTGACACCATTATAAATATATATTCTCTACTGATCACTGGTAACAGGGAGATGGAAATGCAGATAAGAGAACTGACTAGGTCTAGATGACTCCATTATAACCACTGGAAAAATGACTAGGACATAATTTCATGACTGATGATCAGTGGCACCATCCTCATAATACAAATCAAAACATGAATCATATACTTACTTTTATAGTACAAGGCTTTAATCGGACAACTCTCCGATATGCAATTAAAAAAAAAAAAACAAGAGACGATTGTAGAGATAAAAAAGGAAGAGAAGTTCAAATAACAATAATAGATAGATAGATAGATAGATAGATAGATAGATAGATAGAGATATGTATACATACATACCTAACGTCAAAGGGGACTTTAAATTCCTTGCTATATGTCCAATTATCCAAGGAGATCCATCTGTAGTTAAGATCATTAAATCTGTAGTAAGGATCCTGTTGATAAAAATTATAATAGATGCTTAAATATGCAAAAGTAAATGAATTAAATAAACATGAAATAAATTATTAACGATAGCTATTTATCAACTAAAAATGAATGAATTCTTGGCCTAAGAGTACAAGCATTTCATATGCTAACACATCCCGTCCTCAAGGCTAAAGCTCCAACTATTTAAGAGACCATTATCTTTCAGAGAAAGTTGACGTGACATTAACATACTAAAAATACTAAAATAGGTTTTTAAAAATTCCAACAAAATACCTGAAATGAAAGAGCTCTGAGATAAATAATATAGTTTCATTATCAAAGAACATGTGCAGAAATTAAGATTGGCTTCCCTTGTTAAATCGAACTCAGAACCTCCAAGGTATTGGCAGAGGATGAAAGACAGAACTAGGGTGTAGCCATCGCCCCAGTTCTCATTGCCCTGTCATTCTCGCTTTGCTTATTGCTGCTACTATCTCATCGAACCTCCAGGGAAAACGCTTCTTCTCTACTGCCCAAAAGTCAGCAAAACTTCCATTCTTTGGATTCACTTAGCATTTCCAAAGTTATTTTTCACTCAGCTTTACTAAGTGAGCACAAAAAGGCTCTCTGCAGAGAATACACAGGCAGCATAGATACTATCAAACTTAAAAACTTCAGGTTTCCTGTATTATCCTAGACCAGGTCAACAAACTACAACCCACAAACCAAATGCAGCTCACTGCCTGTTTTTGTGTGGCCAGCAAGCTAAAAATGGACATGTGTCAATAAATAAAGTTTTACTGGAGCACAGCCATGCTCACTCCTTTACAAATATATGGCAGCTTTCATGCTTCAATAGCAGAGTTGAGTAGACATGACAGAAACCACATGACTCATTAAGCCTAAAATAGTGTCTAGCCCTTTACTGAAAATGGTTGCCAGCCTCTGCCCCAAATGACTAGCCTTCTGGGTGTTCACAGATGTTGGTCCATCTGAGTGTCCAGCCCCAAGTTCTCCTTTACATAATCCTTAGGTCTTTTTCTCCTACTCATTTTCCACCCTTTACCTTCCAGATAAGGGCTCCCAGACAGGAAGCAGAACAGAAAGTGGTAAACGGAGCTTTTCAGTTCAACTTCTGCGAACATCATCACAGCTATACAAATAGTGCAGATATGGAGAGCTTCTCCTCACAACTGGGACAGGGCCAAGAGGGATTTCTCTAGGGACTACAACTCCAAATGGAGAAGGAAAAGCCAACTTTGTGTAATTTCCACAACCAAGTTAGGTTGGCATCTGCCCAGAGCACAAATCTGTAAGAGACACTACATCACTGCGTGTGTATGGACATGGAAAGAAAGGTATCTGCCAGACACTGCTTCTGACTGGAAGATATATTTTGATAAGCTACTAGGAGAGGGACTGGTTTGTGGGATTTAATAAAAACTGATAATTCCCAAACTGACTTTTAGGATCTGGTTAACTGTGAGGTTTTGTTCTGCTAAACAGGGGTGTGCAAGTCCCAACGAACCTGCTTTCTTTTCTGTTCTTCCCCCACCCTCGTGCCAAGCAGGATTCAGCCTCTCCAATGAATAAACATGGAATAAATATTTAATGACACAAGTTTGAAGAGGCACCTAATTATTAGCCTACCCATGTGTCTCCACCCAGCCCTATTTATAACTCTACACTGTGGACTCTGTCCAGTACAGATAAAAATATAATGAGAAGGAAGGCCTGAAGGTTAATGCAATTGCAACATGTCCACTTACTAAGCCTTGGGGCTGCTGATGATCTATCTTGTGGGGCATGAATCCCCTACCTGTCTCCTAGCTCCTTGAAGGAAGCTACATGTTGAGTTCAAGAGGGCAAACTTCTCAGATATATTTTTTCTACACAAACAGAATTTAGAGGTTAAATTTTTTTCTTACTTTAAAGAAGCCAACCTGAAAAGACTACATACTGTTTGATTGCAACTACATGATGTTCTGGAAAAGGCAAAACTATGGAGACAGTAAAAGGATCAGCGGTTGCCAGGGATTAAGGGGGAGAGAGGGATGAACAGGCAGAGAACAGAGGATTTTTAGGGCAGTGAAACTACTCTGAATAATACTATAAAGGTGGACATATATTATACATTTGTCAAAACCCACAGAATGTACACCAAGAATGAACGCTAATGTAAACTATGGACTTTGGGTGATAATATGTCAGTGTAAATTCATCAATGGTAACAAATGTACCTCTGGTGAGGGGTGTTGATAATGGGGAGTCTGCATGTGTGGGAGTACATAGGAACTGTCTGTATTTTCCATTCAATTTTGCTATGAACCTAAAATTGCTCCAAAAACCAAAGCCTTTAAAAAAATTCTCTTACTAAGGGAAAATACCTTACTCTGTCTAAAATAATAGTTTCAAAGTCTTAGATTACATTTAAAATAACTATTCCAAATACTAAATCACCAACTTAACTGGGTTCCAAATTGGTCTGCCCCCACCCCTTTGCTCATATTAAAATTCTGAGTCCTATTTAAAGCTAACAGCAGTTCAGCATTACATCTGATGACTAAGGACCATGCTAAGTCACTGAGTTGTGAAGCAAACCCATGAACCCTAAAAACAAAAACGGTATCATTTGTTGACCGTTTACTATATATCAGCTTCCAAAATAGGCTTTCACACACCTATTTTCATAACAAACCTGTAGTAAATACCATTTTACAGAGGAAGAAACTAAAACTCCAAAAGGTGGAATGACTTTCCTGAGGTCCCACGACTAAGGAGAAGTACATCCAGGAATGAAACCAACTCAGTCTAACACCAAGGTCTGCATTCTTTCACCTATACTCTAGTACAGATGAAAAATGTGTACCTCACACCAAGTATACTTACACTTTTACACCAGATAATCACTGCAACAGTAACGACAGCTGAGACTTACGGCCTGGGACCCTATGAGACAGATATTATCATCATTCCTCTTACTCACAAGGAGTCCAATGGCTATTTAGTGCTGGAACACTGATTCAGACCCAGGAAATCTGGCTCCAAAATCCATATTCTTCATTATTACCTAACATTGCCATCAACGTACAAATGTTGTCAATAATTACATCAGTGCTACCTACCAAGTGGGAACCAGGAGATAAACATGCTATGTGGGGCCTGGGCTAGTTATTTATAATTGATATTTACCTTACTTGCTGTACATCAACAAACTGTGTGTCATTAGACTGTATAAATGACAGTAATAGTCTCATTTTCTCTGGAAGCTTCTCAACTTCTTCTATTATGTCTGCTTATAGACACATAGACTCCTTGTTTGTATATACTTAGAAAAATCTGGGAAAATATACATGAAAAATTTACAGTGATTACCTCTGCTTAATAGTATGCTTTTTATGGGTTTTTTTCTCTTCTTTTTATTTTACATTTTTCTGCATCAATTTTTGTACAATAAACATTAAACATTTATAATTATTTTAAAGAATTTAAAAAGAGGGAATAAGAAAATTATATCATTATATATGAATATTGTGCATGATAAAAGTAATGTTTTACATTAGTGGACAAAACTGAAATTGTTCAAATCATGGGATATGAAAAAGTGACTAATCATTTGAAAAAACTCAAATAGATCAAAACTTTAAACATAAAAAAAGAACTATAAAGATATTAAAGGGAGGAAATATATGTAAATATTTACTTAATTGGTAGAGAGGGAATTACTTTCAAATCATAATACCAAAACAGAAATAATCATAAAAGAAAAAAAACAAGATTTCAAAATCTGTAAAACTTTAAAACATCAATATGACAATATAATTATTAAAAAATGGGAAAATTTTGAAAATATATAACAATCTATATTTTTAAAGACAAATAACCAATAGAAAAACAAATGAAACACATGAAAAAGTAACCCCAAATCGCCAACATATAAAAATCATATAAAAAGTGTTTAATCTCACTAGAAAGTAAATTATTTGTTTTAAAATAATACTCAAATCTGCACCTAAAATAAGTACTCATAAAATGATGATAGGAGTGTAAAACTGGTACAACTTTTATGGAGAACAACGTAGAAATACATATTAAAAGACTAAAAAGTACATACCCTTTGATTCAGAAATTCCACTTCTAAAAATTTGTCTAAGAAAATAACGATGTACACTAAAATTTAGCACAAAGTACCTTCATCAAAGAATAGAAAAAAAGATAGAGTCAGATAACTATCCAACAATAAGCGATTGATTATAAATGATGACAAATGTACACAACGGAATAAGAGCCATTAAGCATGGCTTGTAGAAATATGCTTATTGCACTTCACAAAATATTTAGTAATAAAAGGTTGTCAAACTGTATATTTAAATACTTATCATAAATGTGTGTACCTAGAAAAATTCCAAATGGATATAGCATATTTTTAAATTTTAATAGTTGTAGTTATCTCTGGAAGGTTTCCAAGTTTCTTCTTACTTATCTATATTTTCTAATTTTGGCATACTGAGAATATCTTTTATTTAAGAAGGCTTTCAAACTTAAACCACTGAGGAACTTACACTAAGCACAAGAAAGGTGAGGACATTTCTAACAAGAGTTCCCTTATCTAAGCGTCCATCACATTACAAGGTTATTAAAATTAGGTTTTCTGTCTCACTACAAAATAGGGACTGGGTCTTATTCATATTTCTTTCTTATTTCCAATGCTTATTTTAGTGTATGGCGTAATAGTAGGCTGAATGAATGAATGATAACCTTTAGGAGAGAGCCCAAAAGGCTCTCCAACACACCTAAGATTTAGATTGTGTATAGGAAACACAGTCACCTGTAAAACACCAAAGGCTGACCACAGATCCTCTCATTAAATATAAATTCCACTTAACCAACTGCTGAAACCGAAAAATCCTTAAGTTTTCCTTGACTCCTCTTTCACACCTCACATCCAATCCATCAACCAATCCAAATTGGCGGGGGGGCGGGGGGGGTGTGTTACAACGGGTTTTTAAAACCTGTTGGTTTTACATTTAAAATGTGTCCTCACAACCACTCCCATCATTTTTCACTGCTACCACCTTGGTCCAAGCCAGAAATCATCTTTTGCCTATACAACTGTAATAGTCCCCTACCTGGTCTCTCTCCATGCTTCTATTCTGATGCACTGTAGTCTTAACACAACAGCCAGAGTGACTAACCTTCTAAAAAGCAAATCTAATCATGCAACTCCAAGTTCAAAATCCCCAATAGCTTCCCATCACCTGTAGAATAAAATCCAACGTGTGTTCCACTGCTTACAAACCCTGCATGACCTGCCCTCCATGCCTCCTTTGAACTCATCCCCCTCCCCACTGCCCTCTGGCCACACTAGTCTGCTTACAAATATGTCCCTACCCCAAGGCTTCTCCCATCTTTTTTTTACCCTTTGCTGGGAATGCACTTCTTAAAACACATCAAAAAGATCTCTGCTTAAAAGTCACTTTTTCAAAATGGCTATCTTTAAACCCCCCCCCTTTTTTTTAAATAGCAATCCTTCCCAACCAGCCTTAATCCTTTTCTTTTTAACCTGTTTTATTTTTCTTCGGCGCACCACCCGTCATTATATTATCTACTAATTCGTTGATGGTCTATCTTGTCCAGTAAAGTATCTACTGGGCAAAGACTTTGTTTTCTTCACCACTAGATTTCAAGCACTTAGAACAGTGCCTGCCACATGAGAGGTATTGAATAAATACTTATGAGAAAATTAGGTGAATGAATAAATAAATAAATGACTTTAGCTGCATATGCTTCAAGTTCTCATGTAAATACAGTGTTTGGGCCAGGGTCTGCTCTAAACTATGGAATATGTCCTGAGGTCAACACCAAAAGGAATGTTGTAACAAAGCAGATGTTATAACAACATCACATTATTCAATAACGATACTGATACTGACAATTATTTTCAAGAGGACTGGAGAACCCCAATCCCCAAAAAGCCTCTCTCCCATCTCTCATCCCACTACCATTTAAGACCCATATCCACGTTAAACGTAAAGTTTTTCTAAGAATTTATTAACAAATTTAACAGACACTGTAAATTATTCCCATGAGGAAAAGTCAGTCATTTCATATTATGAACAACCTCATTCTCATTAACTAGTAACTAAACACTGTTTCCTGATATGTGGCCCTGTAACACAGAACAATCTAATTTGTTAAGTCACTAATGATTGCTCATTGGCTTAACTCTATCAGTGAAATGAGACAAAGACAGATCCTGCAAAATGAATACAGGCATTCTCAAGGCATATGTAAGTGATGCCTCAGGGCATCAAAGTCTATATCGTATGTAGTCTGTTAACTAAAAATAATTAAAGTACTTAAGTTTCAGAACTATTTAAAAAATAAACTGGATTGTAGTCACTGTCAATTCTACTCCCTTCCTGACATACATTCTTGAAAAAAAGGTAATGCCTACCAGACCAAAAATTTTACATAACCCTAGCTGATCATCCTGTCATTTAAGTAAACTTACAATGATGCTCTGGACAGTAAACCACAGTGATTCAAAAACACATGGTTTTTCAAAATACCAGGGGAAGTGTAGCATAGTACAGAACCGAGGCTATGGAGTCAGGCCAGCATGGGTTAGAACTCCATTTCTGCCACTTAGTTGCTGTGTGATCTTGGGTAAGTTCTCTAACTTCTCTGGGCTCCATTACTCCATATCATCCGTAAAATGATAAGAAGATGTACTCTATAAAGTTCTTATGAGGATTAGGATAATGCATGCAAACCACTTATCAAATACATCCTGTCCCAGGCAAAGAGACCAAAGAATGGGGAAATGCAGCAGGTCGAACTACAAAAACAGTGGAAATTGTAAGTCAGTTTGCAAACCTCTGCACACAGACAGCCAAACAGGAAAACGTCTTCCACAAAGAGTTTAAACATTGGAGCATCTACTGGGAGACAAACGCGCGCGCGCACACACACCCCACATGCCTCGAGAAGAGCTCCTTTCTTCATATCCCAATTAGCCTTGAAAGTTATTTAGCCTTTACAACTGCATTGACAAACCTAACCTTACACTTGCAGATCTGTCTCCCCAACCTACGTGCTGCCACATCCCAAATCTGACTCCCCGAGGCCTAACGACGAAAATGAAAACCTGAGACATTACTGAGTATAATCAACGTTTACTTAGCAAACGACTATCCCCTGCAGTCTCCAGGTAGTTGAAAACAGTAATCTCCTTCCTTAGGCTCTGTCAGTGACACCATGTCCTTTCTACCCACACGTAAATGAACTATGGCAATAAGTGAACCGCCAATAGCAAGACAGTTTGCCCTAAAACTTCCGCTTTCCAGTTACTGAGGTCCCAGCGCGTGTCGGTCCGTCTCCTTCCAGCCCGGACCCCAGCGATGCTCTCCGCCAACACTACATAAACTGCTTCGGCGGTTTCCCCCCGAGACCACAGACTGAACTGGCGGAGTCAGTGCCAAACCGAGGACTGGGGGGCTGCCAGGCCGTTCCCGGGCCCCTCACCACGAGGGGACGCGGGTGCAGGCTCGCGGGGGCTGTCGCACACGGTACCTGGATGAGGTTCCGCTGGAACAAGGCCATGTGCACGCAGCCGGGGACCTCCCCCGGCAGCTCCAGCGAGCCGTTCCCGCTGCGGATCCTCCAGACTCCCCGCAGGCTGACGCTGCGCGCCGCGGCCGTGGGGCCAGCTCCGCACAGCGCAAGCAGCAGAAGCAGGCGCGGGCACATGCTGGGAGGCAGGGGGCTGGGTGGCGCGGGCTGCAGGATGCCGCCGAAGCCACCGTCTGCGGCGAAAAACAGCGGGACCCCGCTCTCCCCGCCCCCGCCCAGCCCCCGCGCTACCAGCCCCGCCCCCGGGTCAGCTGAGCTGCGGGGACACCAGGCGCAGGGCGGGTGCATCCGCCGCCTGCTCGGCTCCGAGTTCGCGTCCCTACGCTCTGCGTCCGGCTTAGCGCTCCTTCCCTCTGCTTCAGTGTCTGAACCTGGGACGGAGCTGTGGACAGAGATCCCCGGGGGCCAAGTGGCGCAAAGCCTGAGGGAGCTCGCGAACAGACAGTAATACACCGAGACCACAGCTAGAGTGGCTCCTCGCTGCTTCAGAGAAGCGACACGCCGAGACACCCGCCACTTCCGTTCCCCCTGAATTTCCCTCGGCTCTTTCCACGCTGCAGGATCCGCCTATCGGGGGTCACTCCCTCCTCCTGCAGCTGCAAGGTGGTCTCAGAGCATGCCCCGCCCTTAAAGACTAAACAATTTACTAGAGGTACCTAATTCGTAGGGTTGTTTTGAGGGCTGAGAATACCCGTGTGCGCTTGTAGCAACAGGCCTAGCCGAGAGAAATCCCAGCTTGTTAGCTAATCGTGTTAGTGAACTATGACTTTCTGTTGTATAAAGCCCCGCAGAGGAGACATTCCCTTTCTAATTGTCAAGGCTGGTCTGCATAATTTAGTTATGATTATTTCGCACATTCCGTAAGATACTAATGTTAACACTAATACGGTTAAGCCTAACTTTACAATTCTTCTTAGAACAGATTTTATTCCCAGTAGTAAACAAGAAATAAAAACCAATCTCACATGCCTTAGAACAAGAGAGTAGGCATACAAAGGTGGAAGGGTAAGGGCAGAAAAGGCAAGCGAGTCACAATGTTATTATATCAGGCGAAGCCTGCTCGAATCAGAGAAAGAAGCTATATAGAAGAAGTGGAACCTGGGTGTAGTTTAGTGTGGGTTACAATTCCTCCTCTTCTCTGGCTCATTCCTCCATCTTGAGGGAACAG